AACGTTCTGCGAAAGTAAAACTGATAGCTTTTGGTTATTCCTTTCTAGTACCTACTGGTTATACTCGGAATCTCTGTGGTCGTTTACCCAATTATCATTTATTTTTTATTGAAAGGTAACAAAAGACGAGAAAAGTAATTTTGCCTTTACAGAATCTTAGGTTTGCCCTTGAAAAACATTTCAAAGTCCTTACAAAAATTTAAGAAAAGATGTTTTTCATAGGTTTCTTGATATGCTCTACAATCTGGACAGATCAGAAATCTTTTTGGAAAAAAAAAGTTTTTGACCTAGAAAACTGGTTTTTCAAAAACCGGGTCTCCGAAGGCCTAGCAGTCCAAATGCTTGTCATAGTCGGATTCAGCATGTTTGATTACCTATTGTCCTCTAGCTTAGAGCTCAAAAGCGAGTTGACAGTTGCGGACCTTTCCTCGTAAGAGCTGCAGGAAAAAGAAGAAATTAGTTTGTATAGGAGATGTCAAGGAGAAAATGGCGTCATAAAAGAGTGCACACACTTATTAACATGAGATTTCGGTGAAGCTACTTCCACTGTTTTATCTGGGAAATGTTTCGTCCCACATTTTGACTTACAGTCACATATTGCACCGGATAGCGAGCCACGTGACAATATTTTCTAGGATTTGATCAATGTTATGTCGTCAAGAAAACTTGCTTCATTTAGTCTTAAATCAGATGGACAAGCGGGACGTAAATGAACTAAACTTTATACAGTATATGAAGTCACAAGTTTACTAATGGTTTAATATATATGCAATTATAAATAAAAATTCATTCTCTTGTCTTTTTCTTTCGAAAGAATGCGATATGACAGAAGTTTAACATCAGTATTTGTTCGATCATTCGCATATTTTAATCTCCCGTTTTCGGAAGTTTTATAGCTTTGATAGTTCTCTAGATCACAAGGTGCATATTTTGCCCAAAAAACGGACGAAAGAAGAAAATAAAAAAGCAAAACTCGCAGCAAAAACATGTAATGTCTGTCGACAGAAATATTATCAAAGTTTTCTCTCTTGTAATTCCCAGTAATTCTCTTTGGGCAGAAATGATTTTGAAAACAAAATAACACATTTTCAAGGGCAACAAACGGGCGCTTCACGCGAGTTAAAGATGACTTCATTTTTGATCAGTCAAATGAAATTTCCATGTAAAAGACGCGCTGCGACTCCTTACGAAAGCGGCTGGATTCCAATTTTATGTACCCGTAGCATCTTGGTGAGACATCATGGATGTTGAGTCAAGGCACTTTGAATATCTTTTCCCGTGTAAATCAAGTGCATTTTTGATGCATATAATAAGACATCCTGATGTCCTTAAGACATTGAGGATGCGTTTAAGACGCGGGATTAGCCTTATAAAAGTAGGCTACTACGAAAAACATTTTCTTTTAACATGTGACAAAGTTAAATACGCAAGCAACAAATTAAAAATAAGGCGGTTAATAAACTAAAAGTGGCTCAATTACAGTAGAATAAGATGAAACATTTATATTGAATCCAATAAAAAACTGATAAAGGCATTGTAAGAAATGATAAATGGAAATCATATCAAAATAGACCGATTCAAATATCATGTGTGCAACTATGGAAAAAGATAAGAAGAAGGAATACAAACACAGACGGTAAAGCAAAAAAATAAGTGGTTCAGTGCGTTAGGCATTGATAAGGCGATCAATAGAGAGGAATAGAAAATATTATTTTTGTTAGAGAACAATATTTAAAGAGCAAAATGTCTGCAGGAGCAGGGATAAAAAAAGCAGACTTTATTTTACAATTAGAAATAGTTGTCGTCAAAAATCAGTAAATTTTGGTGGAGCGAAAGAAACCATATGCAGGTCATGATACTTACACAATACAAATAACCTATTATGAGAACTAATCACAAATATTTTTAGATCCCTGAAAAAACATGGTTTTCAGAAAACCTTTTAGAGTTATGTTAGATTATAAACTTTTCACATCAAATCTGTCCTTATGCCAATATAAGTTGCCAAAGGCATGAGACCGAGTAGAGTATACTCTATTACCAAATTCTCGTAAAATACTTTTAATTTTGGCTTGATTAGCACTCACGATCAATGAGTTTTGTTGCAGGTAATAGTAAGTATATTTGAGGTCAGCTCTGACGTTCACCGAGTTTAATTTGATTTGGTTACACGCAGATTCCAACCATATGACAATAAACTAAACTCAGTCAAGGTGAGTGTTAGAGGTCTGCGGGACCAAAACGTTTTGGTCCCGTAAATATTTTTTCACAGTAACGCAAGTAGTTTGAAGGTCAGCACGTTGTAATGTGGGGCGTGAGACAGCGTGGGTGGTATTAATTGAGAAATTTTAGAATTTTGGGTAAGTTTTCTCTCGCAGAACTAGTGCCTACATACAAACAAGCACCAGAGTCAGGAAATTTTTATACTCCATACAAGGCTATTTTCAAAAACACCTGGTCTCGATCCCATTAAAAGCCGCGGGGAATCGGGAACATCCCGTAGGACCGAGACCGTCCCGCAAATCTGTAGGTCCTGGCCCCGTAAAAAGTCCCGCGGGACCGGAATTTTCCCACAGACCTCTGGTGAGTGTATGATAAGAATAGTTGTAAACAAGCTTATTTCAATGTGTCACATACATCATCTTTCGTCTACTAAAGGTGATTACACATTTAAGAGATTGATGTATTTCTCTTGTTCTGAAAAATGTTTGTTTTGTATATTTAGATATTTAGTGGAATCGGAAGAAGATTAGAAGCTCTCGAACAGTTATCAACTTTAATTGGTGAAGATGTTGTGTCAACTATAAATGATCAGTTGATTCCGTATTAATTAATTTCTATGGTGTTGTTGAACCAGTAATATCAAGCATCACATTTTGAAGGTCTACATCCATCTTCCAACGAATAATGATTCGATACTTTTTGCCATGGAACAGAAAAAGTTTAGGTGATAACAAAATCTAGTGAGCTTGTTGAAACTCATATATCTTTCTTAGGATGTTATATGTTTTCTGCTTTAACTTATTTAGTTCAGTATCAGTTATATATAATTACAGTCAAATGTCATTTTTTTGTCTAGCAGCAACGGCGTCATTATTATCAAGATTATTGGTAAAGACTAGACCTAAACATGTCATACTAGACAGTTCAGTTACTCTGATATAGGCTGATGTAGTCATGTACTGTCCAGCTGTCTTTCATAAGTAATCCCACATTCGTAAATGATTTTGTCTGCCATCGAGTGTAACTGTTTATCTCACTAATAATGCAGTATGAATCAAAAGCATTTCTTGCTTGATCCATTTTCACTTATCCATCACTTTTACGAGATATTTGTATGTGGACTTGCGAAGTTTGGGCAAAGCGAAAAAAACGTGGCTGTATCACGACATCACTTCAATAAGTATATTTAAACAAGTGGGGCCATTTTCTTTCATAACATAACACAAAAATGTCGTTAGTTATGTAAATATACATGTGAAATAAGGTGAGGCACATGCTTTCGATAGACATCATGGCTGTTGCTCAAACACATTCTTCCTTCTTTCTGATGTACTGACTCGATAGAGAGGAGAGAATAATCGAAAATAATAGTAGAAATATAATAATACACGTGAAGAATTTGAACAAAGAAAATCAGGAAAAGGTAGATCAACATGCGATAAGGTCTCATAAATATTAGTTCATGCACGAGTCACAAACTGATATTTGTTTCATTTTCACGTTTTGTGATCAATGATTGCGGATAAAAAGCAGTAACGAGTGACGCATCACATTGATTGAACCACAATCAATACACACACCGTCACACTTGAATTTCGACCTCTTACACTATTCTTTCAAGTGGGCAAAGGTGGATTAACACAGACAACAATACATACGATCTAAAACTCCTATCATTCTACTTCTATCAATCATCAGACATGACTTGTTCTGCTGCCTGATGACAATAAGACTGGAAAGCTATAGAACTACCATAACTTTACAGAACATATATTCACGCTAAACGTCGTCTTACTCTGATTTCAGTGGCAATCCAACATGGCTTCGGTGCCAAAAGAAAAGAACTTGACACCACCGAGAAAATGTGACATATGTCAGAAGGGTGCGGGGATCTCGCTATGTCCGGGCTGTGAACAAATGTTCTGTCGAAAAGACTTCAATGAACATCGACAACAACTCTCAACACAACTCGACGTCATCACTCGAGAGCACGACTTTGTCAAACAAAGCGTCGATCAGACATGTGATGTCACCACTTCGAAGGTGTTCGATAAGATTGAAAAGTGGGAGATGGAGTGGATGAAGAAGGTGAAGATGGCTGCTGATCTTGCACGAGAAGAAGTGCAAGACATTGTCGCTGAGCCGAAGAAGCAGTTGAAACGAATCACAGATGAGATTCGACCAAGAATGGCCGATGAGGACTATGTGGAGTACGATCTCGATCGATGGATGAATGAAATAAAGCAGGTGAATGCAGATATGCAGGCTATGTCATCGACGATCGTGATCGAAAGTGGTCATGAGTGTGAGTGGAAGAGAATGATCAAAGTGAGAAAGCTGAAGCCCCAGAGTCATGTGTTCAAATCACCAAAGAGAAGTGAAAAGAGTATAAATGAAGTTAAACAACTCGACTTCAACAAACTCAAAGTCAGACCACAGAGGCAGATCAAAGTGGAAAGTTATTGGGCGATGGGAGCTTCTGACATGAACTTGCTCTACTGTGGTAAAGACACACTGTGTTTGACTGATCGAACCGATCACAAGACAAACACACTTCAGTGGAGTGGGGCTCCTGCCACTGAGATCTGTTGGTCATCGTTTCTCGACAGATTTCTGATACTGACTTCTACAACTCTTCATTCATTGAATGTCCAAACAAATGAAGTGACACAAATCAAACAAGTGTCAGACAAAAAGAAAGCAGACTTTTTGAGATGTACGTGTGCAAATCAAACATTGTTGGTGAGTACTTTTGAGAACGGATCAGTTGTTGAAGAGTGGGATATGAGTGGAGAATGGAGAATGATGAGGCGATGGAAACCACCTGTGTCCTGTCAACAGAATGAATGGATTGTAGATATTCGATTTTCATGTGATGGCAGTCATATAGGAGTAACAATGAGCACCCCTGGTGAATACAATCTGTTTCATGTACGAGATCGATCAATGAACATCCTCAACAGCATCACATTTCCTTGGTTGGAATACGGATATGTTCTTCTCTCTCTTCCAAATGGACAATGGCTGACACATGAGGCGAGGAATGAGCAACTTCATATGGTTAGCAGAGATGGTAAATTAGAACACGTATGATAAGGGTGTGAACAGAACAACCCTAATTGGACAAAGATGTCTTGTTATTCGAACAGATGACAATGAACTGTGTTTTCATGACTTATGACTCTGATTGAGAAGCACATAAATATTTATCAATATCAAAATTTGATTCACTGATCGATTTTTGTTTTGGTAATAACAAGACTGACAGTTTGAATATGTGAGCACAGATAAGCATAGAATAAAAACAGAAACCTTTAATTTAAATCAAAAACCGGTTACCGGGAAAGCAAAAAAAGTGCGATGCACCTATAAACCTTGCTACCCTTCAGAGACCGAATCAGTTCTTACGTGGATGACCCAAACCCGACGCGATCCGAAGATTTTTTACCCGAACCGAAATTTTCAAATTGGACCCGGATGATCCGAAAATTTTTCTTACTTGGCCTAACAATAATCCGAAACCAAAAACTGTTTGTCTCGATCGTGTATTGTCATGAAGTCTAATTATCATAATGCGAGGCATACCTAAGTCGTTGGGTTTTTTTGATTTAGTTATGTTTCTCTTTTTTCTTTTCTTTGACACCAGCAAAATAATAAAAAATGTAGTTACAACTAAACAAATATAAATCAATTTTTCATTTGCTTCTTTACAGATCTCAGAAAGACTGTACATTACACAGCGTCATAACAGAAAGAAAAAAACATTGTACTTCTCTTTTTGATAAAAAAAGACATATGTTTGAAAATAGAAGAGTGAATTGTAACCGACGAAACTCTCCTGATTTGTGTTCTAGTGGCAAGGCCCGAATAAAACCCGAAATGTTTTTTGCTTTGACCCGACCCGAATCAATATTTTTTACATTGATCCGAACCCGACCCGTTTCGGTCTCCGCTACATCTGCAGATCCACAATGATATGCTCTATTAAACGGGAAAAAGCGTTTTCCAGAAACCTGGAAGATTAATGAGAAAAGTCTTTTTATTGCATAGGGATCACATCAGTACCCATCGATCAAACTTTCTAGTTTGGTCAACAACCATACAGCAGCGAATTCTAGAAACTATCCAGGCATATGCACCTTCTAATTCTCTACTTGGCCCTATCAGAACAAATCAAAACAAAGAGATTTCTGAAAACCGGTGGTTGGTGCCCTTTAATTATCCAACTTTTATCTGCTGGATTGGGCTTGGTCCGATTTGATTTTCAGGATGAAAAACTGTATTTACAATTTTTTACCATGAAGATCGCCTTCTAGACATCCAGCTCTAGCAAAAATTTTTTAGAGAATTATATCTTCTGCTTATAATATGCGAGACTCGACCCTCAGAAATGCTTGCGTCATGAAAAAAATAGGAGTTTATTTTACTAAGGACAAATTGAGAACGATGCAATCCTTTTTCTATCTCCCAACGATATAAATTAAAATCATCTATAGAGCATCCTTCATATTTGGTACTACTGGATTGGTCTGACGCTTTTAAAGAACAAAACCAAAATTGCCTTGAGACGAACATATTCATTGAGGAAAACAAGATGAGATCGATAAAACTGGTGAACAAATAAATAAATTTAAGCTAAAGCTACTACAATCAGATCGTAATTTGGTAGATACAGTACTTACGAGTATGGAAAAAAGTAAAACCTGTAAACACGCCGCACTGGTTCATTCTTTAGACGCAAAAGATTGCAAAAGCTCCAGATTATTGCAATCATTTCATCAAATTGTTTGAAACATCACTCAAGAAAAAATCTATGCAATCATTATGCAATTTAGTCTTTAAATTGAACAAGGATAACCTTACACAATTAATGAAAAAAATAATCGAAAAACAACATAGTCTTATGACTTCAATAAAAACTATAGTTGAAAATCAAGAAAATTCTATGAATATAATTAAAAAACTAGTTGAAAACAAAGATAGTTCTATGAATTTAATCAAGAAAATAGATGAAAATAAAGATGGTGTTATGGATTCTATGAAAAAAATAGTTTAAAACAAAGATACGGTTATAGATTTATTGAAAAAAATAGATGACAACAAATCAGCTTTGAAATCTATTTATGACAAAGGAATTAAATTATTTTTAATTAAATGTCCAATCATTACAAATTCGATTAACGGACAGCCTGTTAAATCTTCAGATGCTGCTGCGATACAAGATTTGAAGAAATTGAAAGAGAAATTCGAAGATCTATTTTTAGAACTTTCATCAGAAAAATCTATTTTAAATCAATTGCGAAAATTCAATAATTGATGAAAATAATTCTATGAGTACTCATCAAATCTTAGGTGAAATATATTCTTTACGAATAAAATGTCTCGATTTTTCTAATGATATTGTGTTAAATATTGTTTTAATCATTACTTTTTCAAATCTTTAAAATATCAGAATTTAGATGATTTAAAAAATTTTACTCAATTTAATCGTCGTTTATTCTATATTCATATGATGATGATACATTAAATTATACAAAAGATCATCGAAGTCAACTTTTCAAATTGAAAACAATTTTTAGAAAAGTTGAAGATGCTGGTAATGGTACA